TGACAAGGTTAAAAATAACTTAAATTAAGTTAAAAACGAAAAGTAATCCTCTCCCTACTACTTTTTAATCCAATTCAAACGGACTCTTAAACTATTATCCTTAATTACTGGTTGAATAGCTAGTATAAGAGATGTTTAGACGGGTATTGGTTAGCATGTTTGGGAAGATGTCCAAAAACTACTAATTTTTTTATTTGCGAAGTTCATTTGATAAATAAAGGGAAAAAGGTCTGAAAAATACTCTAACTTTGGTCGAAATTGCTGTTACGATACCAAACTTTATGGAAGACCTTTTACCCCTGCACTATTTAATAGTGTACTTTAAAGGTATGTATGTGCTCACGTGGACACATTACTATTTATAATTATGCATTATTTATGATGTCCACGTGGATACATATATACCTTTAAAATACACTATTAAATAGTGTAGAGGGGTAAAAGGTCCTTTCCAAAGTTCGATATTGTTACAACAATTTCGATCAAAGTTTAAATATATTTCTGACCTTTTTCCCATAAATAAAATCTTTACTTAAAAATAATCAACATTGGGTAAATATATCTATTAATTAATGAGAGATATAAGTTTAATCTAATTTCCTCACTCATTTTAATCAGGAACAATCCAAACTAAATTCTTTAATAAAACACTTCAGTTATGATAATTTTAAAAACCATATATTACATATGACAGTATTAAATACCATCTCAAGTCTTTTGAATATAAAAAAATGTTACTTTTATTATACGGAGTCCGTTTATTATATAATGCCATAGTAATGTATTAAAGACTATTTTATTTTCATCCTATCAAGTTTTTATTTTACTATCTCTAATTTTAAAGTTTCATCAAAAGATTTCTTATAACCACTAGAAAAATACTAAAATGTATTTCAAAGTTACAATTAATATTTAGAAAATTTTATTTCCATATATAGTCATGGCATTAGGAATATAGTGATTTTTTCTTTCAAATTTTAAGTTCTTAGTTAGATAAAGTAGTACTTTATTAAATATTGTAAAACTTTGAGTTAAAATACTTAAATTTATTATCTATCAATAGAATTTTTAAGAATAAGAATCAACATACTGTATTGCTACAAATAAATTTTTGAGAATAAGAATCAACGTATTGTATTGCAACAAATGACTAATATTTTATTAACTTGAAAAAACTTTTTTCAAGTTACCTGAGTCTATTCAACCTTATATGTATAGTAATATACACATGATCCATCTCATAGAAAGAAGGAATGTCAAATTGTTTAGAGTAGAAAAAATAATACACAAGAACTATGTGCTAATAATCACTTGATAGATAAATCATTCAATTGTAGGACAAAATGCATTAACAATATACGTACATCAAACAGGTTAGATTTAACAGAATAATTTAACTAGAAAAGAACTTAAAACAGAAAGGATTTAGTGAAAAGAATTTTGTTGATCAAAAAATGTTTCTATAGTGAGAGAGAAGATTGAATCTTTTCTTTGAAAACTTCTATAAACAGAATTTATTTTCTAAGAATTTAATAACATTCTCAAGGTGATAGTTCAAAGTCTTATTTAGGGTGAGAGTTTTTCTTTGTAATTATAAATTAATCCTCTTTTTGATTAATTTTCTTATATGTAGCCATAAAATGATATCAAATCATTAAATTTTAAAAATAAAAAAAATAGTTTTCTTTGTCGTTTGATTTATCGCAGCTAGAAGTATATATATACTGAGTTGGTTTGAGTTTTTTTTTTTAATACCAAATCAAACTATTTGTATGGACATTTAAATCTATAAATGAAATTAAACTAAAAAAAAAAGTTAGAGTTTTTCAACCTAAAAGGCACACAATTATAGATTGATATTTCACCTAAAAAGTTCATCCATTATATTTTATAACCAAAAAATCACTCAACTATTGGTATTCCACTTAGAAGTCACCCAATCAATTTATATAATTTTTTAATAAAGTTTTTACTAATATGAAAATTTTATTTTAAGCTAAACTTTTTTTAAATAAAAATAAATACTCATTTTATTGACCATTTGACCCACTAAAATTATACTAAACTGTGTTTGTTCTGATGTGCAATATTTTCATAGAAAGGTCCTGGTGTGATTATTTCAATTTTCTATTGAAACTGTCACTTGCGTACTCTAGATTGTTTTTGTCTTGAGTCAAAGGTCTATTGAAAACAGTCTTTTTACCTCACCTCTGAAGTAGAGGTAAGATTTGTGTATACTCTACCCTTTCCAAACCACACTTTGGGACGAGAGACTACTCTGAATATTTTTATTGTATATATAATCTAGTGGTATAGAAAGCGGCTATAAAGATTAATATTTGGTCAATTGAACCTATTTTTTCTGAAAAATTACTGTCTTTATGCCAATTGTTTTTAAAGCAAACTAGATGTAGAATATCTGGACTATTATCAACCAAAATGTTATACCTAGCAGGTACTTTTATATGATGTTTGTTGAGAAGTTAGTGAGACAGGAAATGTTCAACATGTCATTTTAAAGCATTTGTGAGGAAAAAAAGAATGCTCAAGTGTTTGCTATGGATATGAATTAATTAAAAAAGTTCTCCCTATATATATTGTTTTGCTGCAACTATTATTAATCAAATATAGGAAGTTTGAAGAAATTTGAATGCACAAAATTCAACTTGGCTTTCCATTTGGGGTTTGTGCTCCCTTTTATGTTTCCATATAACAATAAACTTTTTAATATTCGCTCCCTCTATTACAATTTAGGTGATACACTTTTCTTTTTAGGCATTTTATTATTATAGTATAATGACGTTTGGCCAAGCAAAATCTCATCGTCTAGTGATTTAGGACATCTCTCTTTCAACTTTGGTATCTAATAAGCTTCACGATCCACCTTAAGTGATACTTATTTTTTGCTTTTGTATGTTTTCCATTTCATTTTTTAATTTGAATTTTCGTATCAAAATTGAATTCTGTTCATTTTATTTGAATGTATCCACCTGAAAAAAAATCTAAAAATAAAATCTCACTAAAATTTATTAGATATGGTATAGATCAAAATGGAAAACTAAAAGAATTGTTGGACCGTATGAAGTAAGAAATTTTCAAATATGATCTAAGAGAAGGTATTGAACTTTAAATGATCAATCGAATTTCGATTCAACCTTATAAAATTAAAAAATAGTTATTATCGTTGATTATGATCATTATCTAAAGTTCATGTACAATTGATATAGTGAAGCATAATTGAATCAAAATATGACATTCCAATACAACATATTATTCAATTTTTTGTGCAAAAGATTTATAGATGGAGCTAATCATTTCAATTAATATCCAAATTCACTCTATTAATTGAAAGGAATTCCTACAAATCCAACAAACAAAATAAAAATAGGATATTCATATTATATTTAAAGAAAATACTAAATATCATAGTCAATATTTAAATCTTTTTAAAGGGAAAAAAAAGACAAATAAACTCCTGAACTATCATAAATGGTATGTGCATACCCTTCGTTATACTTTTTAAGCACCAGTACCCTTACCGTTCAAATTTTAGAACGTATATACCCTTTATATTAAGGGTGGGACATATGCCTCAACCTCAACCATCAACCCGATATTTACTAAATTTCTACTAAAAATTAAAAGGTCTTTTTAATTTGGGTGGATCTTTTTAATTTTTGATTAAAAAAATTAATAAAAATCGGGTCGGTGATTAAGATTGAGACATGTGTCCCATCAATAATATTAAGGGTGTATACTCTCTAAAATTTGGACAGCAAGGATACTATTGTTCTAAAAGTATAACGAAAGGTATACACATACCATTTATGGTAATTCAAAATATATTTATCCTTTTTCTCTTTTTTAAAATGTGTTGGTGTAATATACCACAAATACAAAATATTATAGTTGAAAATAAAATGACAAAAATGAATAAATCATCTTTAGGCTGAGGCACGGATATCTCGCTCTCTTTAAGAAGATTCAAGCCCACTGCGGCATAATCTACACCTATCCAGCAGTATATTTCTTGACTTGTCCCCTCCAGGATACAACAGCCCAACAACGTGTACAACTCAAGCAACTCCGGAATAGTTGAAGAGTCCAAAGCTCCACAAAAGAACACCTTCCTCCAACATATAAATACTCTCTTAGTGAATATAGTTGAAGACTTAGAATATTTTTCTATGTCTCAACTCTCTCTTTCACTACACTAACCTCAATATAAACTTTTCATCATTCCTTTCACTATTTTTCCTCCTGTTCTTCAACCCAAAGGAAGACCACTATTTATAGATGATGAATTCTTCCTTGCAATGAATATGAAGATAATGGGTAATAAATTGGATAAGTGAATGACCTATTAGTTACATAGGTTACAAGAATAAAGAGGTAGAATAATGGGTGGAATTAGTGGTAGATCATGACAATAGTGGTTACAAGAGTTACACCAAAGTAATAACCACATTCTTGTCAACTTATACCCACTAACATATGCACTTAATATTTTTATTTTAATATTAAAATACATAAACACCAACAAAATGCATATAAAGTACGGTATGAAATACCAAAATTTTCAATTTTGGTACGGTAATTCGATATTTAGCAAGCATACCCACCCCTGCATCTAGCTACAAAGAGCGTTAGGAAATAGAAAAGAGCTCAAAGGAGCAAATTATAATAATTGCTGACCACGTATGGATCCACGTAATTCTAATTCTTGATTTCAGATACAATTTATTTAATTGGTCCCTCAATAATGAATTTGTTATTTCTGTTAATGATCTTTGATTATGGTTATTTCCGTTAATGATCTTTAGTAGTTTCTCCACAAAAAGCCCATGTCCTAATGATAAGGTTAACCATACATTAATAAACATCTTCCCTTTTATAACTTCAAAATTAAGTCATTTTCTTGGATCTAAGTGAGTGAAAATTAGAGTAATCACAAATTAGAAGAACAAACTTTGCCAAATTGCTATTTCCATTAGAACATATTTGTTAGAAATTGTCAAAGAATGGGAGAGGTTGATGAACCACAAGACATAGCTGACCGCGAACGAATCTTCAAGCGTTTTGATGAAAATGGTGATGGACAAATCTCTGCAACAGAACTTGGAGAGACATTGCAAGCCTTAGGTTCTGTTACTCCTGAAGAAGTTAAGTATATGATGGATGAAATTGACACTGATAAAGATGGTTTCATTTCCTTTCAAGAGTTCACAGAATTTGCCAAAGCTAACAGAGGCTTGATTAGAGATGTTGCTAAAATTTTCTAGTTATTGTGATATGGATTAACCACGCTTTGATTATTAATCTCTACTTGTAATTATCTATTACGCAACGTGATAGTGTGAATATACAAGATAAAGTCGATATCAGTCCAATTTTTTTTATTCTTTTTTTTCAAACCGTTTTAAGTTAGTTAATACTGTAACCTCCATTTTCCTTACATCATTATATATTGAGGTGGACTAGTGTATGTATTTTATTTATTTTTCTTTACCTCCTATTGTGACAACATGCAGCAACAAGTTCGTCTAATCTTATATTTTGGATTTATTGTTTGGACCCCATGTGAGAGTTGAGCTGTCTTGGTTTCTCACATATGACAAATAATTGCAAGTTGACCTGAATTTTGCTCGTTTCATGGCATAATGGTTGTATTTTCTGAACCATTTTTTTTCTTATTACCTAACCTGAATTGGATCGATCAACTTCTGTTGTTTTAATAAAGAAAAGATGTATTCGTACACGATGAGTATAGAATAGGCATGAGGGAATATGATATGAAATGGACAAGAATCTATGTTTTTATTATTATTATTTCAAGGTAACGATCACACCTACATAATTTAGACATTATGAGTTCTGAACTGAAAGTTGTATTTTGAAAACGTATGCTTAACTCGAGATAGTTTCAAAGGTTTGGATAAACAAATTTTGCATATTAATTTATGCAATTTGGTGACCAACTATGGATAAATTGTGGGATACTAATTGAAAGCAGATAGAAAAAGAAATCTCAAAAGGAAATGATAAGAACTGCCCACCAATATACTCTTTCATTCACCAAGTAGTAAACAAAATTACATATGTAATGTAGGCTGATTAGATAGCATTGTTGTAACTTCTTTTCTAATCTTGAAAAACAGAAACAGTTATAGTTTTCCTTTAAGAGTTGGGGACAAGAAACCAGTATGTACAAACACAGAATTCATATCTACAAGTTAAAAGAGCTTATCAGTTGTTGCGCGCTATAATTTACTCCCTGTCAAGTTGAATGGGGAAATGGAAATCGAGATAAAACTTCAGATTCACCCTTTTGTTTCAACAACGATAAAGGTCATCGTTGTCAAATTCTGCAACTCCTAGCATTGCCAAGGCTAAATGACTCTTCATTTCACTTCTAGTCTGCTGTGAGTGGTTGTAAGAATCAATCAAACAGCTGTTACCGGGCAAAATGTCCTTCTTTGTGTAGATGGAATCAGATTCTCTGCCTCTTAACATGTCAATGATTTCATCAATGTCGGGCCTTCGAGATTCTTCAGTGTGTATACATGCAGCTGCTGCTTGAATCATCCAAGATATTTGGTGCAAATTCTTTCGCGGGATTTTAAGTCTTGGATCAAGAAACTTTTCAAGAACATCTTGCTGCAATAGTGGCTTTGCCTGAATAGGAGAAACATCAAAATTTTCAAAATCTGCATAGAAAGCTGATTATGCTTCTACTGAACATCGTCAAAATTTTAAAGGGAAGTGCGACAAGTTTTGTTACAAATACTCAAGTGTCAGTGAGTTGGATACAACACCTTCAGATGCAGACTAGCGTGTGCAAGAACAAGAAAAATGATGGTAACTAAGTGAAGAGATTACCACATGCAATTCCAGAACTTCGTGAGAAACAGAGTTTGGACAAATTCAGATTGCATTAATAGTTACCAGTGACTGTAGTGTTTAACTTTTAGTCGACGATGGAGACAGACTGACTTAGATATAAAAAATAAGGCCAAATTGAATACAAATACTAGGCTTATATTTAAGCAAACACCTACCCACAAAACCATGTTTTCTTCTCCTGGTCCTCTTTTCGCTTCTATTGGCTTCCGTCCAGTTAATAGCTCCAACAGGACAACTCCGAAAGCATAAACATCAGTTTTATCAGAAACTTTACCATGTTGAAAATATTCTGGAGCTAAGTACCTGCAAATTTAGTTTAAAACCTTGGTAAATGTAGGAGAAATCTTGTTGTTAAGCTACATCAGGATCTTAGTCATTATGATGCTAAAGAGTTCACCATAAAGAAACCATACCCAAATGTTCCTTTAACAGTTTTACAAAGGAAAGGTACTGAAGGTGCAGGAGTCCATGTAGCTAAGCCAAAGTCACACAACTGCATAGGTCAAGTAACAATTAGCCAAAATATGATAGAGTTGCACTGTACCTATGAAATAGTCGAGGGGTTAACAAGTTGGGCCGGACACCAATGTTTATTAAAAGAAAATAACTGTTGGCTAGTAGATCCACCTAAAATAGACAATTACCTAATTGTGGTTTTCAAATGATATTCATATCCCTTCCATTACCTTGGGTGTCTTCTTCGATGAAAGAAGAATGTTCGAAGGCTTGATGTCCCTATGAACAACACATCGCTCTGTCCCGTTATGCAAATACCCAATTGATTCTGCAATTCCTACAGCCACCTTATACCTAGCAGACCATGGAAGTGCTGGACCACCTTTACTTCCCTTCTTCTTCCCTGTAAAAATTAATTGACAAAATCTGAATCCCACTGGAATACTGTGAAATCAAATTTCAAAAAGGAAAGGAAAGCAAGAACTATTTACCATGCAAATACCGCTCTAAACTTCCACCAGATACATATTTGTACACCAGAAACAAACCTTCCTCTGGATCAATGCAAAAACCCACAAGAGGAACAATATATGGGTTATGAAGAGAGCTAGCAATCATCAATTCTCTACAAAAAGCCTTTGGAGACTCCTCATCCTCCCTATCTAAACGCTTAATTGCCACTGTAGTCCTCAAAAATCCCACTCTTCCTCTAAAAACATAGCTCAACGCTCCTCTTCCCAAAACTCTACCTATCCAATTGAATAAACATAAATCAACTAAAACCCAATTCAAGAAACACAAATTGAAAAAAAAGGGGCAGTGAAATTGAAGATACCTTTAGAAAAATTTCTAGTAGCAGAAACAATTTCATTGTAACTGAACCTAATCAATGAATGAACCACAGGAGAAATTTTCCTCTCTAATGACTGAACTTTCCTCCATTTCACCTCTTGAGATTTAGGATCAGTTAACCCATTATCCAAATTCACCATTAAAACAGTAGCAGCAGGAGAAGAAAAAGAAGAAGAGCTATGATTCCCATTCACCGATTCAACCTCAACTTGAGTACACAAAGTAAACCTGAAAGAAGAGTGAACTGAATATGGGTCAGCATTAATCAACTCTGGACCACCACACCCTCCCGCCTCAGCAAGTAACCAAGCTTTATTATGGTCCAAAATTTTGCCATTCTTATCATCATTCTGATTCTTGACAGAAATTCGACGGCGTCGAGGAGGGATGATACAAGCCAACCCCAAATCCCAAATCATTTTGTAGATTAAAGATTTCATGTTTAGGTCATAGTTATGATCAGTGTCAATGGCTAGAGTTTGAGTGTTTGAAGAGTGTGAGTTGTGAAGACGCTCAACAGAGTCGGTACAACTACTTGGGGAATACCCCATTTTTGTAAAGGAATCTCAAAAGGCTACACGGAAACACAGAAACAGAGAATAAAATAAAGGCGGAGAAAGAGAGACAGAGAGAGCAACTTTGCTTGAAGGAGAGGAGAGAATTAAATCCCTGTACGAAGAAAAAGAGATGAAATTTATATACAAAAATAACACTAGTTTGACTGAAGAAGCAAATGATAAATTGTTCTCCCAAAATTGATATTGCACGTTTGACTAGACATAAATTTAGAATATTAATTAATTTTTTGATGTTTTTTTTTATACTTAAAATAAGTAAATTATTCAATATCCAAGATAAATATTTAAATTGTTCTCCCAAAAATTAGACTAGACATAAATTTAGAATATTAATTAATTTTTTAATGTTGTTTTTATACTTAAAATAAGTGAATTATTCAATGTCCAAGGTAAATATTTCAACTTTTTTCTATTTTTGTTCGTCATTTACATTTTCTAGATGATAAGTTTGAAAAGCTTAAATGACTCATATTTATGATTTTACCTCAAATTATTTTTATTTAGAAGAATAATTTGACAATAATTAAAAAGATAAAAGTGAATAATGATAATTAATTTATGTCCTAAACTTTTTTCTTAATAAATGTAAATTAAAAACTAAAGTATAACATAACGAAATAATACCAAAATTTGTTGGTAATAACTTAAGACAATTAAGAGTTGTATAACAAATCATTTTCTTTTTACCAAGAACGCTCCATATAAACCAATTTATGATTTGTCGTTACCTTTAAATGTGTAAAAAATTTTAATGATTCAATTTTGGATTAAAATAATCACGCATCGCGCAGATATGTATACTAATTCACTTAATAGGAGAATTCACATCCTCTCTCTCTCTCTATATATATATATATTATATCATGTCATATACATATATTTATTTGTGTAATTTTAGATAAATTTAAATGTATATTTATACATATCCAAAATTAAAATATATAAACAACAGATGAATCTTAATTTAAAAACACATATTTGTATATTGTGTCTATACAATAATTCCACACGTGCATGATGCATACACCCAATTTCAGTTTTGGAGAAATAATGATATAATTGATGAGAGAAGGGAAAGAGGAAGAAAGTGAGATGTTACCTAACCAAAAATAAGACAAAACCTATAAGACAAGCTTTACCCACAAGAAGAAGATTTCTTCATAATGGAAGCTTTGGGAGTAGGATAGACTTCTTTTGTACCAAAAAAATAAAATAAAAATGGGATGCTTGTGTCTTTTGGAAATCCATTTTTTTGTTTTAACTCTTTAAGGGGTCGTTTGATAGAGTGTATAAGAATAATGTTGAATATGATGTATTAGTAATGCATGCATTAGTAATGCTTACATTATTTCTTATACATTGTTTGGTTTGATGTATTGAAAATAGCAAGCCTTGTATAAAGACTATTAAAAAAATATTTGTTTACAAAAATACCCCCACATTCTTTTACAAAAATAATAATAATAATAATAATTTATTATTATTATTATTAT